CGGGTCCACCTAAATACCCTCTGCTCATACAACATGACCCAGAAATGCAACTGAACTCAACCAGAACTCACACATCGAGAACATAACATATAACTGACTATCCCTCAGAGTTTGAAAAACCACTCTAAGGTGCTGCTCGTGCTCCCCCAGGCTGCGGGAATATATCAATATATCACCAATGAAGACTATCACGAGCGAATCCAAATAAGGCCTGAACACTCGGTTCATCAAATCCATAAAGGCTGTTGGGGGCATTTGTCAAACCGAATGACATAACCAAGAACTCATAATGCCCGTACCGAGTACGGAAAGTTGTCTTAGGGACATCGGATGCCCTAACCCTCAACTGATGGTAGCCAGATCTCAAGTCAATCTTTGAAATTACCTTGGCACCCTGAAGCTGATCAAACAAATCATCAATCCTCGGCAGCGGATACTTATCCTTGATTGCAACCTTGCTCAATTGCCGGTAATCAATACACATTCTCATTGATCCATCCTTCTTCTTAACAAACAACACCGGCGCACCCCAAGGCGAAACACTGGGTCTAATGAAGCCCTTCTCAAGCAAGTCTTGCAATTGCTCTTTTAACTCTTTCAACTCAGGCGGGGCCATGGGATACGGCGGAATAGAAATGGGCTGAGTGCCCGGAGCCAAATCAATGCAGAAATCAATATCCCTGTCGGGCGGCATACCCGGCAGGTCTGAAGAGAATACCTCAGGAAACTCACGAACAACAGTCAATAGAGGGAACCTCAACACTAGAATCACGAACATAGGCCAAATAGGCCAAACACCCGTTCTCGACCATACGTCGAGCCTTCACATAAGAGATAATACTACAGGTAGAATGACCAGGAGTCCCTCTCCACTCTAAACGAGGCAAACCCGGTAAAGCTAAGGTCACAGTCTTGGCGTGACAGTCCAAGATAGCATGGTAAGGTAATAACCCGTCCATCAGCAATATAATACCGAAATCCTCCATGTCCAGAAGAAGCAACTCTACACGAGTCTCAAGACCTCCAATAACCAATATATATGAACAATGGACGCGATCCACCACAATAGAATCACTCACCGGCGTAAATACATAAACAGGGGCACTCAAAGAATCACTAGGCATGACCAGATACGGCGGAAAATAAAACCGAAGCTTCTCTACCACAAACCAGAACAATACCTGCACCTCCACCTCTAATACCTTTACCTCCACCTCTAGCATCTCTACCTCCACCTCTAATACCTCTCTCTGAGTGATGGGGAGAAGCTTCTCCAGAAATAGCTGCGTGAGCTACCCCCAAGTCGAATCTGGCGATCCGGCTGGTCTAGCCAAGCAATAATCCCTCCACCAAGTCTTGGCGGATCCAGACAAGCGAAAAGTAGCAAAATCGACCCCATTGGTCTCAACTATCCCCATGTTTCTAAGAACCTCATGACAGCTGTGTTGATAATCCTGGGGATCCTCAGTAGATGCACCACTGAATATAATAGTGAAGAGCTTGGTGAAACTTATCCAACTAAAGCCTTCGAAGACGTAGCTGATCTACCACCGGTCTGTGCTGCTGCTCGGTTGAAGAAGCGGTACATGACCTCGCCATTCGTGAAAGGACAAAAGTAGAGGTGTCAATCAGCATTGAGAAACCAAACCGCACGACAAGAAAGAACAGATGTGAAATTTTTTCCTAACTCTGTAGCCTCTAGGGGATAAATACAGACGTCTCCGTACCGATCCCTCAGACTCTACTAAGCTTGTCTGTGAACTGTGAGACCCATGTAACCTAGAGCTCTGATACCAACTTATCACGATCCGGATTCCCACCCTTCGGAGTCGTGATGGCGCCTACTAGTACGATCAAGGCAAGCCAATTAATTTCACAATTTACCCTTTTTACTCATTTTGTATTCATTAGCAATTTTAATAATAATAATAACATTTATACAGCGGACTTTAACATAAGCGGAAGAAAGGAGCCATAAGCTATCTGAACACGAATTTCTAATACAAGTGTTTGAACCTCGACTACCCAGAACTGGTGTCACAGTATCACAGACGGTCTAAGATTTACTACATACAAAGTCTGAAGAAAATATCAATACACTGTTTCTGAATATAAGGAAAATGAAACAGGAAATAAGGATAGAGGAAACGCTAGGGCCTGCGGACGCCTGCAGGTCTACCTTGGATCTCCGCATGAACTGAAAATAGCCTCCAACCTACGGTCCGAAGTCTACAACACTACGGTCTGCACAAAAGAGTGTAGAGTGTAGTATCAGCACAACCGACCCCATGTGCTGGTAAGTGCCTAGCCTAACCTCGGCGAAGTAGTGACGAGGCTAGGACCAGACCACCAAATAAACTTGTGCAGTTATATGATATACACCGAAAAGTAAAGCAGAAATAAACAAATAAAGATGGGAGGGAGGGACATGCTTCGGAGAATAACAGATAAAACAAAATCTCAAGAGAATTATCAAGAAACCAAAATTTAACTTCTAACAAGAACAAGGAAAACCAAAGGCAGATTTCACTCTCGGTTCACATCTTGTTGCAGGCGTGCAACCCGATCCCATTTCTCATATCTTGTGGTAGGCGTACCACCCGCTCCCATTTCATTATATCTCGTGGTAGGCGTACCACCCGCTCCCATATAATATTGTTGCGGCGTGCAACCCGATCCATATATAATATTATTGCGGCATGCAACCCGATCCATATATAATATTGTTGCACGCCGCAACAATATTATATATGGATCGGATTGCACGCCGCAACAATATTATATATGGATCGGGTTGCATGCCGCAATAATATTATATATGGATCGGGTTGCACGCCGCAACAATATTATATGGGAGCGGGTGGTACGCCTACCACGAGATATAATGAAATGGAAGCGGGTGGTACGCCTACCACGAGATATAGCAAAATGGGAGCGGGTGGTATGCCTACCACAAGATATGAGAAATGAGATCGGGTTGCACGCCTGCAACAAGATGTGAACCGAGAGTGAAATCTGCCTTTGTTTTTCCTTGTTCTTGTTAGAAGTTAAATTTTGGTTTCCTGATAATTCTCTTGAGAATTTGTTTTATATGTTATTCCCCGAAGCATGTTCCCCCTCCCATCTTTATTTGTTTATTTCTGTTTTACTTTTCGCTGTATATCATATAATTGCACAAGTTTATTTGGTGGTCTGGTCCTAGCCTCGTCACTGCTTCGCCGAGGTTAGGCTAGGCACTTACCAGCACATGGGGTCGGTTGTGCTGATACTACACTCTGCACTCTTTTGTGCAGACCCCACTGTTGTAGACTTCGGACCGTAGGTTGGAGGCTATTTTCAGTTCACGTGGAGAACCAAGGTAGACCTGCAGGCGTCCGCAGGCCCTAGCGTTTCCTCTATCCTTATTTCCTGTTTCATTTTCCTTATATTCAGAAACAGTGTATTGATATTTTCTTCAGACTTTGTATGTAGTAAATCTTAGACCGTCTGTGATACTGTGACACCAGTTCTGGGTAGTCGAGGTTCAAACAGTTGTATTAGAAATTCATGTTCAGATAGCTTATGGTCCTTTCTTCCGCTTATGTTAAATTCCGCTGTATAAATGTTATTATTATTATTAAAATTGCTAATGAATACGAAATGAGTAAAAAGGGTAAATTGTGAAATTAATTGGCTTGCCTAGCTCGTACTAGTAGGCGCCATCACGACTCCCAAGGGTGGGAATCCGGGTCGTGACATTTACCATATCCGAAAATAGTAATAATGGTAACTATCAAAAATTATACTTATAAAACGGTTTCACCAGAAAAACGGTCAAAGTCTTTTTATCATTAAGTCGCCTAATATACGGAAAAGGAGTTCTGGTAACACGAATGTTGTGCTCGACGCACTTTAATTACCATTCGTGTTATGTTAATTTTATACTAATCCTCCACATTGAGGATGATATAGTTCTAAATATGATCTAAATATAACATAATTTCATTTGTAAGCTGATCAAAAAAATTCACTTATTAATTAATTCAAAGTCAAATTAATTGAGAAAAACATTATAAGAATCAAAATCAAAATTTAACAATAGTTGAAGGATCAAGAGTGTAATTATTCCTTTTTTCTTTTTCTTTCAAATACAAAATTATATTCCCATAGTACCCTTATCTTATCCATAAATCCTCTGCTCCTTTCTCAATAAAAGCTCACCAAAACTAAAAGGCCAAGGTATCAACGGACAACGAAGGAAGCAGAAATAGGTTCAGAAAACTAAAAGGCCAAAATTCAAACAGTTCTCAGAAAACACACAGCAATATCTAAACGAGCGAGAAGAGACAATAAGAGCCCGTTTGGATATAAGAAATTTTTCTCTTTTTTTCAAATTTTTTTTACTTTTTTCCGAAATCACCGTTTGTTCGTAATATTTCCAATTTCACTTGAAGATGCATTTTGGGAATTTTTGAAAATTTGAAAAACTCCAAAAAGCTATTTTTCAATATTTTTATTCAAATCACTCACAAAACTTCAAAAACAACCCAAAATTATATTCATATCCAAACACAACTCAAATACCATTTTCACTTGAAAAAAAATTTCAACTTTTTTTGGAATTTTATAATTCTTATGTCCATCGAATGAACCCTACACGGCCCCAACCTGAATTAATTAAATAAATGTGTTTCGAGTACCACATGGTTAAATTAAAAAAGTGCAAAAGTAGTTTTTTCTACTGTTTGAAATAAGCTAAAATTAAACACTATAGAACTAGAATCAAGAATGAGAATTGAAGGTTATGAACAATCACATTTGTATAAGATGAAATCTCTTGTGGATTATCCACAGAATTCTTACTTAAGGTGTTCTCAACCTCTGCAAACCTAAAACAATCAACCTGAATCCAAAATTGTAGGTATCGACCAATAGAACAGTAACTAAGCGAGGAGACGAAGATAATGAAGGAAGAAGAAGAAAGGAGAGCAAATGTTTGGGAGAAATCACAAGTTCCTTAGTATTCAAAACATGTCCTTTCCCTTACAATTCTGCTATTTATATAGCTAATACAAGGAATTCAAATGGAATGCAAAAGAAGCGCAAAATAGCTGAAAATGCCACTAACTAACTTTCCCGCCATTCTTCATTTTGAATTTTCGGCACAACAACTACATGCTAAGCCTAACTGCTAGTCTACATGGCATCTTAGCTGGTATCTGAGCTGGCATTAGGCCCCTTAGTAGCTGAAATATGTGTATCACAACCAGTTTGACATTAAATGCGCAAGCCTCAAATTTGAACAAATAATGAGGGATTGAAAAGCAACAAAAATCCAAATTGTTCTTTCAAATTTGCTATTCTTGTACTGTGGATGCAAATAGCATTTACTTTCAAACTTCTCTATAACAGTCATCTTCTATAACAACAATTCACTATAACAGCCAAGTTTTTTTGGAACCAATTTTTCATGCTATGTTATAATATATGTTTTTTATAACATTGCGCGCCGGACCCACAAGGGTCTATTATACGCAGTTTTACCCTGCATTTCTGCAAGAGGCTGTTTCCACGGCTCGAACCCATGACCTTCTAGTCACATGATAGCAACTTTACCAGTTACGCCAAGGCACTGCGCTATAGCACCTAAAAATATCATGAACAAACGAGATTGTTAAGAAAAGGTTTAATTATACTATGAAAAGATAAATCAGTGGGCAGCCAAGTAACCATAATAAATCACTACACAAAATCCCAAAATGGATGGCTAGAAGACAAATGAAGAGACATAACATTTGAAAGTATTGTCTTCTACTAGTTAAACTTCCCTATATGAGAAAAGAGAAGAATGCTACCTACACTCCTTAAACTGCCTTCTGGCCTTGACTAATATCTCAACCGAGCTTCTTGAATGCCTTTCAACTAGAGCTTCTACCCAAATCAGTGGCTTTACCTGAATGCATTACTAGTAAAGTTATGAACTTTTTAGACCGTGTCAACTAACAAAGAAGAATAAGTCAATAGGCACAATTAATGAGAACACAGTAACAGAGAAAGAAGAACTGAATTAGCCAAGGAAGGAAAAAGCTTTTCTAGGATACAGTAAGCTCGGATCAATGGGTGATCATTTACTGAATTCTACAGCATATTGAGGAAGCAGTCACATAGCAAAAGCAGAACTATGTGTAAAGAAATGATAAGAAGAAAAACTTGAAGCTTATAGCTCATCAAGTCATGGAGTTTCACGTACATCACTACTTATGTAATTCTGCTTTCCTTTGTTTCCTTCTCTCAATGGAAAAAGTAAACCTTCATTGAAGTTGAAGAATCCATTTCACTGATTTATGAGTGGAAAGAACATGTGGGGATGTTTTCTGTTTGAGTATGGGGATTATTGTAGTCGTTCAAGTGTGCGAAAAATGGAAAGATTTCATAGCTATATGCAATGCACACCCTCACTGCTGGTTAATACATATGCTAATTATTTGATGAAATAACTAAATAACTGCTTATTTGCTGTATGTTGGTTAAGCCTGAACTATTGTATGAGAAACATGATGCAAAATCAATGAGCTATATTCTACAAGAGAATCATGTGGATGTAAAACCTACTGCCTCTGTGATTTTACTGCAGCGAATTTAGATCTTTGAATATGTACATGAATCTAAGCCCTAAATCCATAGAACTAACTCAAAATCAATTTCCATTTCTTCTCCCAACTCCTAACTATCAAAATCCTCAATAATTGCAGAGAACTTCTTTATGAGATTCTGGCTAACTGAATCTCTTCCAGAAGCCTTTCCGCAATATTTGACAAAATTTGGTGTACTATTTCCTGTTTGAGATGCCGATTAACAGAGCACTGTATTTGAGTAGGAACAAACTCTTACTTTCCATTACCTTCCATTTTTTCTTTTTCTTTTCATAACGAAGGTATGTAGAGGACAAAAAAGCTAATCCGACCATCTTCACTGCAAAAAAGAAATGTATCGTACCTGTTTAATTTTTCCTCTTTGGGTAGGGT